TTCCAAGGAATGACTGGTGAACTTGAACTACCGACCTTGTGGTTCAAATTGGCTTTGCAATGCTGTGCATTAACCGTAGTGTGTTTCCTCTGTAATCATTTTACAAATCAGTAGTATTGCATTTTCTACTTACTTCATTATTCCTGACTGAGAGGCTGCTGGCACTGCTATTTTTATTGTAATCAGTATCATTCCAAACCTTTAATTATCTTACCTTAATTTACATTCTTCATCCTTCTCTGGTAATTTGCATTAACTATATGGTTTATTTGAGATATGCATTGTAATTTAAATATACTCCTGTTTAATCTGCATTATGTACTGTATCATAGCACAGAAATGCAACATGGGCCATTAATGTACAAAAAGATTTAGAATAAAATCTAGGTATCTATGCATATGTCGTTAGTGTATCAATGCTTTTCAGTAATAATTGTACAGTGATTGTAAACTATTTTTCCCTTAAACTAGAGGATCTCTTTATCCAAATATAATTTTTAAATAAAGCATCATTGTATATAATTAATGTCAGTGACTTCACTGTCTCCATGTTTGCATATAACTTTCTCTATCTTAGGTTCTTTGATAAGAAAGTGTACCTGATTTGTATAAACAATTTAGTGTATGTGCAAAGAGATTTCAGAAAGGTTGCAGAATATTTCATTATAAATTCTATTTTCCATGAATTTTAGAAAGCCTCCTTGTATGTTTATTAGAATGAGAGGGCTCCTAGTTTAGGACCTATTTCAATTTTTTTTTTTTTTTCAAGTTCCAATTTTAATCATGGAGTCAAGGACAGAAGGAAGGGTTACTCAGAGAGCATGCAGCCTCGACATATTCATCATCACAGCCCGACACAGACAATAAGTCACACTAGAATAATTTAAACGTCCTTTCAGTCATTATATTGTCATCATAGTCAAACAAAAACTGCAGTTGACATTTGAGATCTGTTTTCCCCAATGCCATAAACACAATGAAACATTTAATCTGTGTTTGTCTTTCTAGCAACACTGAACGCAAGTGATCATTTTATAGATGTGAATGAAGAGATGGAGATATCTTACTTTATAACCAACTGTTGAGTGATTGCAAAAGGTTTATATGCACATATATCTCCGGGGATACTTATCTATATAAAGATAAATGATTCCCACTATGAGGACCCTTGTGGACATGTGTGTTGACTACCTAATACATGTGTTATTTCAGTCTATACCACTGAAAGCACAAGGTATTTCTATAGACAGAGTTTTCAAGTAAATCATATTATTTCCACAAATTTTGAGAATTTGTGCTTTAAGATTTTTACAATGTTATTCGCATCTTAATTTTTATAATGTTATTCACATCTCTGGTAGCGTAGTGGTTACGAATCAGGCTGCCAACCTTACAGTCAGCAGTTCAAAACTACCAGCTGCTCCACGGGAGAAAGATGAGACTTTCTGCTCCCATATAGATTTATAGCCTCGGAAACCCTGTGCAGGGTCACTACGAGTCGGAAACGACTCCATGATACTTACCGACAACAACAATAACATTCACATCTACCTTTTTAGAATGTTATTCACATCTTAAAGCACAAATTCTCAAAATTTGTGGAAATATTTAATAAAAATCTTAAAGCACAAATTATCTAAATTCGTGGAAGCATTTAAATATTTAATAATGTTATTATTATGAAAATGGAATGCTGGTGTGGTGCAATACAATAAGCACTCCACCCCAAGGTCTACTCAAACCACAAAGTTAGCAGTTCAAACTCAGCAGACGTTCCTCAGAAACCCTGTACAGGGTTGCTTTGATTGAGAACAGACTTGAAGGCACTTAACAGCAACAACAGTAACATGTAAATAGCATTATAATGTAATTTATATGCAAATGATGAACAGTAAGTTTAATAACCGTCTATGTGTTGCTGTGGGATAATGCTCTGGTAGCGTAGTGGTTATGAATCGAGCTGCGAACCTTAAGGTCAGCAGTTCTAAGCTACCAGCAGCTCTGCGGGAGAAAGATGAGGCTTTCTGCTCCTGTAAAGATTTACAACCTCGAAAACTCTGCACAGGGTCGCTATGAGTCGGAACCAACTCCATGGCACTTAACAACAATGTGGTGCTGTGGGATAATGCATTGGACTGTAAGGTTGCTTTGAACTGTAAGGTTGTAGGTTCAACTTCACCAGCTGTTCCTCGGACACCCTATACAGGGTCACTATGAGTGGACCAAGTTGACGGCACTTAACAATGACAACAACATATACTTAAAACCTAAAATTTTCCAACTTTTCAAATTTTTATATCATATATTTATATGCATATCTATATCAATAGTCAATACATCACCTTGGGGCTCTTCCTCTTTTTCTCCAACCCTCCACTTTACCAAACATGATATCCTTCTCCATTGACTGGCCATCCTGGCTTCCAAGGGGCACTCTGGCTGTACTTCTTCCAACACAGATCCATTTGTTCTTTTGGGAGCTCATGATACTTTCAATATTCTCCTCCAAAATTATAACTTAAATGCATCGAATCTTCTATGGTCTTCCTTATTCACTATCTAAAATTTGCATGCACATGAGGTTATTAAAAATATCATGGCTCGAGTAAGACCCACCTTAATCTTACACAAAAATAGGAGAACCTCCATGGAGATGGACTGGGACAACCTCAGCATCAATGGGTTCAAATGTAGCAATGATTGTGTGGTTGGCCTGGGATCAGGCAGTGTTTTGTTCTGTTGTGCATAGGGTCACTATGAGTCAGTACTTACTCAATGGTATCTAACAACAACAACATTTAAAGATATATATATATCATACCTATGTTTCTCAAATTTGTTACTGAGGTAGTTGCCCTGCATAAAGAATGTTTAGTAATATAGGAGTGCTCCAAATATTAGATATTAGTAGCATCATTCTCTTAATTATGTTGCAAAATATCCAGATATTGAAGAAACATTCCATTAGGTGCTAATTTCCCCCAGTTGATAATCAGTTAGCTCTCTCTTTCTCTCCTCCTTTCTTTTATTCTCTATCCTTCTTATTGTATCTTTATATGTATGTCAGTATGGTAGTGTAGTGGTTA